AATTTGCAAAAGAAAGTAACTGATTTAATCTTAATTGAGACTCCTGTCTCTTTCTACTTGGACCTTCCTCCTGTCACATTTCTTCTTGTGCTGGGTAGTGTTGAAGAGGTTCTAGACATGTGGGGGAAGTTGAGTTGTGATACAATTAGTTTGGGTTTAGTGGGATATATTTATGTGGTTCATAGTCAAGGGACTGCTAACTCATTCTGCTTCCCACTCTCCCATGTAGCAGAGGTTTTTAGGAATGTTCTTACAGCCTATACTGTACTGATTCATTGGGCATCAAGACAAGAAAGTCTTGTACGATCAGAGGTTGAATCACAATATAAATTTGACAAATATGTCCTATGGTTCTTTTTTTTTTTTTGATGTCTGATTTTATTTATTTGTCACTCATAGAAAATCTCATTTTTGACTGAAGTCAGAGGTAGAAGCTCTCAGAGAGGACAGCCTCCGTCTCTTGCAATATGTTCCTGGTGTTTTTCTTTGGCCTCCTTCATTCTCTTGGCCAAAAGTTTAGCATATTCTACAGCCTCTTCCTTATTTTTTTTTGTGCGCTGCTTCTTCAAAGCAATACACCGACGCTTGTGCTGGAGGACATGTGGAGTAACAAGACGCTGAATCTTAGGTGCTTTGGTTCTAGGTTTCTTACCTTCTTTGTTTAGGGGCTTTCTCACAACATACTGGAGGAAATCATCCTATGGCTCTTAACATGAGACACTGGAGGAGAAAAATGGTTTGAAAGGTATGGAGCCAGAAACCAATCTGTGGAAAATTATTCTAGTTATCAAATATGTCAAATCATAAGCACAGATTTGGTTTCCATCAGTAGCTAGTCAAACAGAAGTTCTCTCCTGTTATGAAAATGGCATATGCAATTATAAACATAACATGTATTTTTTCCCTTTTTTGATGGGAATTGTGTAAGACAGAATTTACCAGAATGCTGTGATTTTAGGCATAAACCTAGCGGTACTACCAACAGTAATTACATCAACAGGTGAAATGCATGTTTCATGTATCATATGATTGTGACTCTTTCCCCAGTTCCCTATTATATATCATGTGTCCTTTCAAATCACCTCAGATTCCCTTGATGAAGCTGTCATGCTAAGACTTATTCCAAAATAGAGCTTAAGGCCACCAGATTGAGGTGTCTCAGAACAAACATTACTTCATACATGTGCTACCAGAGTTAGCCTCTTTAGTCTGTCATTAGAATGCTGTTTGTTTTGTCTAAAAATTATCTACTAGAATGGACTTTTGATAAAGTAACCTACCCATACTTCTGAAGATCTCTCATCTCTGGAAAAAGTAATGTTGCTATAAATTGATGGGGTGTAATGCCTTATTTCAGTTAATCTTAAAAAAATCCAAATTAGAAAAACAACTTAGTTGTATAATTTAAATTAAATCATGAAACCTCCAGGAGTTTTTTATATCCTCCCCATCTCCACACATAACTCAAGAAGGATGAGAAGATAGCCTGTTTCTCAATGGAACCCAGACTTTTACTGCCATAGCATATGGGTCCAGTTGCTAGCTCTATGTTCATATAGATCAAGTCCTGCCTCTCATTGTTCTTCCAGTCACACAATTTGCATGACACCAAACTTACCTGAATTACTTAGAAATCATTTTAAAAATGTTTCCCTGCTTATGTTCAAATGAGGACTCAGCTTGGTAGTATATCTGATAACATCACAAGTGTTATGAGTACATATCACAGGGGACAGAGGAACTCTCATTGTTGTAAAGGAACCAGAGAAGGTCATCTGGTAGATATTTCCTTACTGTTCTGTATTTTATTAATATTTAGGTAATAGTTTTGGTGACATTTATGTTAGGCTAGATTCAAGGATGATTTGGGGTATGAAAGATCAAATACATAGGTATTTAACCTCTGAATAAAGTCAAAACGTCAGGCACTAATATCCAGGAATATTTCCTCCCTTAAAGGTCCTCTACTCTTACACTGATAATGTTATTATCAAAGTATTATGTACCCAGCAACTCTCCGAAATCATCTTTCAAAGGAGGTTATCTTCTGGCTCTCCTAAACAAAATGCAAACAATATAACTGGAAGTCTAAGCATAGTCTGTTTTTTGCTATAGTCATGCATTATGTATGGACTGGTGGATGCAGAAATACAAATATGGGCTCATTTTTATTTTCTTACTATGCCTTTTACCTTTCTGGAAGTAAAGGATAAATTATTCTTTAAAAAACTCATTAAATAAAAAACTAACAAAAAATATAACATGAAATATAGATTGTCATGAACAAATTTCTCATCTCATGATGACTCGTGTCATCAACAGAGTTCTCCTTGGGAAGAAAGAAGATACTAATGTGGAATGGGGGAAGGCAAGAAAGACTACTGGGGATAGTATCTGAATTGGAGTTACCAGTAATCAGCATGAATTCATGATTAGATATAGATATATACATACAAATATACACATATTTGGATTGTTTCCCTGTATCTCTATCTGCTAAAAGTGCCTAGGAACAAGGAGCACATCTAGCACCCAGATCTTGGTGTCTAGATATCATTCCCTATGAAAAGGAACCAGAGATCCTAAGAGAAAGGGGAAATGGACTGGAGCTGGGAAGGTACAAGACGGGTTTGGCATATCTTCTTGTGTCAGAGAGCAAGGGAGTGCTCTAAAGGATATAGGAGGCAGCCTGAAGGACTACTACCAGCCAAATCTAGGAAGTCCAGCCAAATCCAGAACAATTTGAGCAGCAACATCAATAAGGTAAGTAAGAGATTGCAATCTATTCAAGAAAACATTAGGGGCACCTGGGTGGCTCAGTCGTTAAGCGTCTGCCCTCTGCTCAGGTCCTGATCCCAGGGTCCTGGGATCGAGCCCCACATCGGGCTCCCTGCTCCACGGGGAAGCCTGCTTCTCCCTCTCCTACTCCCCCTGCCTGTGTTCCTGCTCTCACTATGTCTCTCTCCGTCAAATAAATAAATAAAATCTTTTAAAAAAATAAAATAAACATTAATCCATGAGTCCATACTGATAGTATATAAACAATATATAAAGTAAAAGGGAAGTCTTTTCCTTACAGTAAAATGCCAACTCATAAATACAGAGAAAGTGGTAGAGTTGAAAATGATCATTTTGTAATGATCATAATATTCATTCAATCAATATCACAAACATGATATACAGTAAAGTACTTATTTTCCTCTGAAATAATAAAATAAAATCCAAGACCTAAAGATTTATTTCCATACAAGTCTTCTTAGATAAAAATGAGGGTTATAATTGCTTTTAAGATCACTCTAATATGCTGTAATAACAATGATAAAGTTCTCTTCTGGTGAAAATTGGTACTCTGTGAAGACCAAGTTTCATAGTTTGAAAGAACACTTAGGGTGACTGAAAAAAGGAAATTAGAATGGTTCTTTTTCTAAGTTCCCAACACACAGCATATATTACTTCTCAGGAAAACATAAAACTGTTGTCTAAAAGCAAGAAAAGAAGAAAAAATAAGCTAGAGAAGGCGAACTAGTCTACAGAGTTTGAAATAGAGGAAAACAGATGTGGAACTTTGGTTCTAGGTGTAAAATAATTTATTTAAATTACAAATCACATAAAAATTAACCATACATCATTTTCTTTTTTTATTTCATTTTTATTTAAATTCTAGGTGGCTAACAAATAGGGTAATATTGGTTTCAGGTGTAAAATCTGGTGATTCATCACTTACATACAACATCCAGTGCTCATCACAAGTGCCCTCCTTAATACCCATCACCATACATCATTTTCTTAAGCAAAGGAAGAAGCCTAAGTCAGAGTTAAATTACATTAACGTTGAAAAATGGAATATTAAAGCAGTACTACAGGTATCAATTGGTCCCTGCTGGCCTATATCAATAGGTTGTATGCTTACCATACATACATGGGGGCATGTGGGCTTCATGATATGTAAATTATCTCTCAATAAAATTAAAAAAAAAAAAACCCTGCTGTCATTTATTGAATACCATAACAGGAATTTGTACTAGGATTTAAATAGCACTGCCCTCAGTGAGTTTTGAGGTTTTTAACTTTTGTTTTTAAAATAATTTAATTGTTGATATAATTTAATTTTTAATAATGAAAGTGTTTAACCTCCAGCTCATTAAACTCCTGATATTTTAACAACTGGCTCTCATCAACCTGGTCTAGCACACCACTGACTGCCCCTTTCACCACTGAGAAAGCCAAAGCTCAGACAGGCTGTCACTAACTAGGCCTGGTCACACGGGACAGCGTCACCCAGGTCTGTCGAATTTCAAACTTTCTCCCATCCACTGTGCCTCTCTTTGAAATGTAGTTGGCGATCTACTCACACATCAACACCCAAACACCTTAATGTGAGTGGATTTATCATTTGCTGGACAGTCATTGCTTTCCTTAGCAACAGGTGGAATGCAAAACCCGACTAGGCAAGGAGGCAGGAATACACGGAAAGAGCACAACTACTTGACAGTTTCGTTCAAGACCCGGCAGGATCGGTTCCCCCATGAGATTTGGTTAATTTAAGATTTAGCAACCAGCAACCGTGCAACAACTGGTAAAAATGATAGATCATTTATTGTTTTTTTTTCCTGTTTGTCATTCATTGTTGCTCTTCACACATTTTCACTGTATTTAATGAAAACGTTGTTAAAGACTTACCTCAGCGGTCATAGCAAAGGACAAATATTAAAAATCAAATAAGTTTCCAGGAGAGAAAGACAAATTTATCAACAAATCACTTAGCTCTCAACACAAATAGAACTTTGGCCCAAGTCTGGCCCACTCCTTCTCCAGTATATTATTTTCAAATAGGCCGCCTCTGCCGTTCCTGACTGCTAACTAGCGGTCCCAGGCTGTGACATCACCACATCCCAGCGTCACACCCCCCACTCCAGGCAGTTAGGGACAAAATATTATGATAATTAGCGTCCGAACGCCACAAGTCACAAAATGGCTCAGGAACAATCCTAATTTACGCTATGGAGTTCCAGTTCACAAGTGTTTTGAAACGTTTTAAACACAGTAGGTTTCAGCAAAAGAGCGCCGTCTTACCGAGCGCCCCGGCCGCTTCACCTTCACACAGAGCCTCCGCAGCGGCGGCGGCGCCAGCGAAGCGCTACGCCTCCCGCCAGCCCCAGAGCCGCGCTTGCGCAGTCAGTTCCTCCGCTGGAGGCTCGGCCCCGCCCCTCAGAGACGCCGAGTTCCCCGAAAGGCACCCGGCGTGGAAACGCTCGCGCGCAGGCGCAGTCGCGCTGCCTTCGCGGACCTGGAGATTTTTTTTTCCTGTCGCGGGTCCTGGGTCTTTGGTTTGCGAAGTGCCGTTGGGCCCTGCAGGTGCTGAAGGGCTGGGGTCGTGGACCCCCATAAGGTGTCAGCAGCACGGAGGTGCAGGGTGTTGTCGAGGGTGCGGGGCCGGGCGCTGCCAGCGGCGCGCTCCGCCTCGGGGCCCCCGCCCCTGCTCTGGGCCAGGCCCCGGCTCCAGCCCCCGTCCCGGCCCCGGGCTCGCAGTTTACCCTGCTGGTGATGCACCCCTGCGGAGGGCAGGACGACTCTGCGGCCGAGGGCGTCCTGAGGCAGACTCCGGCCCTGGGGGACGGCGCCGGTGCAGGCAAGCCCATTAGGTACCTGTGCGAAGTGGCGGGGGCTGGCGAGGAGGAGGCAGGAGAGGACGAAGCCGACCTGCTGGACACTTCCGACGCCCCAGGGGGAGGCGAGAGCACCGCTAGTTTGGAGGATCTGGAGGACGAGGAGACCCACTCTGGGGGCGAGGGTGGCAGCGGGGGAGCCCGGAGACGGGGCAGCGGCGGGGGCAGCATGAGCAAGACCTGCACCTTCGAGGGCTGCAGCGAGACCACGAGCCAGGTGGCCAAGCAGCGGAAACCTTGGATGTGCAAGAAACACCGCAACAAGATGTACAAGGACAAGTACAAAAAGAAGAAAAGTGACCAGGCCCTGAACTGCAGTGGGTCCGCCCAGCCTGGCAGCGCGGGAAACGTCAGACTGGAGGTATCAGACCTTAGCTGGGGTCTTGGGGAGTGGGAGGTGGTTAGAAGAAACTCCACTCTTACTGCGAACCGTATGGGCCAGGTTGCTGGGGCTGGACTTGTGGTTCAGAGTGAGTGCTTGTCCTAAATTAAAGTTTATAAACACATGTGCAAAGCCTTAACAGTTCTGTTGCATCCTTGTGATAGATGAATAAATGTCAGTGGAAATGATGTGATATGCATCAGCAGATCTGTCATTTCAAAGATCTGGAATATGGGCTGGAAGGACAGATAGTAGGTGATTGAGCTGGTTCATCGCCAAAGGAGGAGGCAAAGAGACTTAGGAACCTACATGAAATTGTAATTTGGAGAAGGTAATCTCTTCCTGATTTCATTACCCTATCCACAGCATACTGTTATCAGTATCCCTATTCTTAGTAAGCTGTTCTTAGTACTCCGTGCTTAGTACAGTGTTCTTAGTGTCTTGTTCTTGGTTAATTTTACTGTCAGTAATTCTGTTCTCAGTAGCCTCATACTTAATAGACCTGTTCTCAGTACACTCATGCTTAGTACCCTGAACTTTTAATACCTTGTTCTCAGTATCCCTGTTCTTAGTACCCTGTTCTCACTAGCCCGTTTCTTAGTGCCCCTAGAAAAGAAAATGGAATAATAATGGGGTGTAAGTCTCAGGAAGATTTTTGGAATGTTTGATTTGAACTGGGTTCAAGGTTAAAGCCAGTGCTTTGGTGTTGGACTTCTGTCTACAAATCTCCATTCCATCATTTGCTGGCTGTGTGGCCCTGAACAGGTTATTAAATTCTTAAGCTCAGCTTCTTCATCTGTAAAATGGGTATTAAAATGGTACCTGGTTCATAATGTTGCAGTGAATATGTGAGATATTCCATATTGAGTGTTCACATAGTGTGTAGCAGAGAGTAAAAGTCAGGAAATCTTAGCCACTATTGTCCATTATTAGTGGTACACTTTGAAGTTGTTATAGATAAGCAGATGTTTCATCCTGTGTGCTTTCCTCCTTTTAATAAAAGCTATAATCCCTCAGTACATTTTCATTGAAAAATTGAATCTTGTTAAAAATGATCCAGAAAATTTTTTAAACCGAAAGCTATCCTAGTATGTATTCTAAAACTCTTTAAATTTCTAGTTTTTGCTGGACTTGAACAGCTGCCTCATTGCTAAAATTTTAGACTTTGGAATTGTTACAAATGTGATGTTCTAAATATTTTTAAAATTTATAGTCATCAGCATGTCACAATTCACACTGATTAGGGTCTGCTTTTATCCCATGGAGTCTTAATCTGTTTAGGGTAAAAGGACTTATCTGAGAATCTGATAAAACCTAATGAACTCTTTTCCCAGAAAAATACACATAGGTAGGTAGGTATTTAATTTTGCGTACACATTATAGAGTTCAGGACCCCTGTGGATCTTAGGTTTAAAACCTGTATTCACATCCTTGTAAAATACATTTTATCAAATCTTGAATTACAAGTAATTATGGAAATAAGCATCTCACTTATTACAGAATGAAAGTTAGTAAGGGTCATTGTTCTCTGTACATTCCAAATTCACGTCAGAAGTCTTCACAGAGGGAGAATATACTTCTTTTCAAGAAAAGAAGTAGTTTATCTATAGCTACCTTCTTTTAACTGTCCAGTTTTGCATCTACAGTTTGAGGAACATGTATAAAAGGCAAATAGATACTGAATTAAGTCTCCCCTTCCCCCTCCCACAGAAAGGATTTTCCTATTCTAAAATAATTTGCTTATTCTAAAATAATTTGCATGACTTTTTTAGGAAAGAGAAGTAACTGCTATAAGCAAAAATTAATACCCTGCTATACCATTTGTCTTATGTTATGGGACACTTGACCAGTTCTGAGGAGATTTCCAGAGCTGTCTTTGTCGAACTGAGTGTAAAGAAAATAACCAGCAGTTACCATCGGGATATAATAAGGGCCAACTGTATAATATTACTTTAGTAGTGGAGAGGAGGATAGATCATTATAGGCTGAGATACTCTGGAAAGGATTTGCAGAGAAAATATAACTCAGTATATGCCAGAAGGGGTGGCTAATAGTTTAAGCTTAATCAGCTAAGTTTCTTATATGCCAGGTACTGTGCTAAGTTGTAAATGGAGTCTCACACCCTTCAGCAATGCCACATAGATGCTATATTTTACATGCATGGAAACTAAGGCACAGAGAGGTTCAGTAACTTGGCCTAGGTCATACAGCCAGCAAGTATTCAAACCCAGGCAATCTGATTCTAGAGCCTTCACTCTATCCCCATATTATACTGCTTCCTTAAAATTTTAGTAGATAAAAGAAAGAGAAACACATCTTAGTAAAGAAAAGGAAGTGGGAATACAGAAGACACTTTTGGGAAGAAGCAAGGGGACCATTCTAACTAAAGCAGAATATTTAAGTGGAAAATTCATGGAAAATAAATTCGGAAAGAGAATTTGTAGCCGGTTTCTGTATGGTATTGAATGCCAAACTATAGGATTTGGGTTTGGAGTCTTCAAACGAAGTTTCTAATTAGAAAGTAACAGGGGCTGTACTCTAAGGCCTGTAGATTTAGAGATTCTTTAGGAGATCATTATAGTAGGACTGATAAGTGGTGATAGGGGTTTTCTGTAGTGTGAAAAGCAAGATTAGAAATTAAGGTATTTAAAGTCATTTACATAAATCAAGTTAAATAAGGAACAAATGTATATGACATTTAGTCCATGCATCTAAAAAATATGCTATAGGAGAGACACATAAAGGAACTAGGGATAAAAGAATAGACTTATGGGAGTGATCATTATCCTTAAATATCTAAAAGGCTATCATTTGGAAGAAGCAGTAGGTTGATTTTGCATAGTTCTATGTAACTAGGACTTTTAAGTAAAAATCACAGGAGATATATATTTCAGTTCAGTCGAAACAAAAGCTTACCTAAATGTTGGATTTACTTAAAACTAAACGGGATGCCTCAAAAGTTGGTAAACTCCTTAGGGCAAAAGGTGTTGAAGATTTTTGAAAAGGGAATCCCCAAATTGTAGAAATTTGGACTAGCTGACTCAAGGTTATTTCTACTACAAGTTTCTGTGATTTTGTGACATTAACATTGTGAATCTGCATAGTGCTTTATTTGGGGTTGTGAGAATATAGGGTACCCTGCCATCAAGTCAGTTTCGTGATTCCATTTCTTGTGCAAATAAAAATGAAACAGGGCCTCACGTAGTTAATCCTATGGGGAGAGAGGAAGAAATTATTTTTGTTTCCTTTGGGTATCAGAATGCTCTTTTTAGAGTTTTGTTTTTGTTTTTACATTTCACGGTCTAAAATGTTTAGGGATTGAACATTTTTGTCACATTGGGCTGATAAACTTCCCATAATGAAAGAGAGAAAGTGGATATTCTAAGAGAACTCAGAGGCCAGGAAAGAGAGGTCAAGAGAAGAAAACAGCTTCAGTAACCATCTAAATGAAGAGCAAAGAGAGAAGAGTCAATTTATATATGACATGGCTTTATGGTAAAACATTTATAGTTTTATATTTGCTTAGTCAGCATTTTTGGATGTGATCACTATTGTATCGTGGTTTTGTAAGAGTCAGAATATCTCAGTTAACTACAGTATTTAGTTATGCCAGGAAAATTGCAAATACTTAAGATTCTGTCAAGGAATCGGAGATCCATATTTGGCAGTTAGGGCTGCTGAGTTTGTTTGGGTAAGGATGTCTCAGAGCATGGTTTTCATTTTAGGACGGTGGCAGGAGATTATTTATACCAGTGTTTTCCAGTCTTTTCAAAACCAGTTTGTCATTTTTTTCCTAGTGACTTCCAAATTTTGAAAACTTTGTCTATCAGTTGCTTCTTTAATATTTTACTGTCTACCCCGTTTAATTGTTGCTGTTAACTGGACAAAAAACTATCAAAGTGTCTCTAGCAATATGTAAATTGCCTTTGAGTTTATGTCTTCCATCCAAAGGCAAGCAAACTTTGTTTTGGCCTGGAAAGCTTCATCTAAAGAGAATGTTCAATTTCCACTTGGCACTTTTTATAATATTGAAAATAGCTCCCAAGTAACTCTTTTCTCCTCCCACCTCTGCCTCACTATTGATTTTGAGACCTTCAAGAGACTGGAGATCTGAGGTTGGAAACTGTGGAGGGAGAGGGAGTGAGGAGTGTTCTATAAAATTAACTGCCAACATTTTATCTATGAGGGATTTTCCTAAAGTTTCACAGGGACTGGGCAAGAAGGAAGAGAAGCTGAGGACCCATTCATTACATCATTGAAAGCGTACAATAACGGATTATTATATTATGTTAATTGTTAACCCTGTTTGCATTTTTATCATTTATCCCAGGAAAGTACAGATAATATACTCTCCATTGTTAAACAAAGAACAGGAACCTTTGGGGATCGTCCTGCAAGACCTACTCTTTTAGAACAAGTGTTAAATCAAAAAAGACTGGTAAGTATCTGTAAAGTACTTATAAATTTATTATCAGAAGTTGTTAAAATTATTTAGATTTTTGAGAATTTAAAATTTGCTCAGCTGGTCATCTGTTCCTCTGCCGGTACACACTGGAATCTCATAATGCTGTCCCAAGACAAACCTTTATTCCTGACTAAACCTTGAATATCTGAATTCTGTGGTTTATGGAAAAATGCGTTAGTGATATGGAAGTAGAATGAGACCAACATTTAATAAGGATCTCCATTCTAAATTTGCTAGAAGGCATCAGAATTCAATCAGAAAAGGAGAGATTTTTCAATAAATATGGAAATAATTGGGTAATAATTTTAAGACAAAAAGAAAATTTATCATGTCACTATACATCAAACTAAATTCCTGATAAAGATGTTTAAAATTCAAATTAAAAAAATAGAATTGAGACTTAAAAATCTTTTTCTAGCTTAAAAGAAATAGAATTACAAAGAAATGAATGCTGTAGTCAGAAATGGTGGTAAAAATGCAAACTTCAAACTAACATATAGGAAAAATATTTGCAACATATATAAGACACTAATAGTTAATGTGGTTGACATTTTTAGTTTACAAAATATTCATATAAATTGATGAGGAAAAAATGTTGGCTTCAAGTACATTGCAAAAAATATAAACAGGAATAAAACCAGAAATGCTACCATTAAATGATGTGAAAAGGTATTCAACATCAGTAAAAATCACAATAAACAATACAACAAGTGAAAATTATTTAAAAGACATCACAGTGATGTTGGGGGTTTCATGAAATGGGCACTCTCATTCTGTTGGTGGTATCGTATATGTATCAGACTTCTAGAAAGCGGTTGGGCAGTGGTATCAGGAGTCTCTAAAATGGTCATCCCTTCACCTCAGCAGGAAATAAACCCTATATATGGATAAAGTTAAGCATAAAGATGTTGCCAGAAATGTAATTATCACAAATAGTAAAATAGTAGTTAAAACAACCTAAATGTTCAACAGTTTTATAATAGCTGAGTAGATTATTGTTCGTTCACTTAATAGAATATTGGTACATCTTTACAAATAATTTTTAATTTAAGTATAGTTGACAATAAATAAGTTTTAAACAAATAACTAGAAAATGTACTGTGCTCTAATGTTAAGTTTTAAAATCAGTGTTTAATGATAGTATTTCCACCTCGCTTGGTTTATCTTTTTTAATTTTGGGGGACCAAATTTTTTTTTTCCCTTATCAATTTATAGAAGTATTTTATTAAAGTAAAAGCATATTAACTATAGTCTGTTACATTTGTTATATGACTGTATTTAGAAATGGTAGGTGTACAAAACTATTGTTTTTTTTTTAGATCATATTCTGTCTTTTCTGAAATTTTTGTAATGTGCTGATACTACTTTTATTAATACCTGTATACACACAGACACACACAGTCTTTTTAATTTCTTCAGAAAGACTTAATAGGCTAGTGGGAGAAATCGATCCTTACATGGATTTCCAAACTGGCATCCAACTGCTATTTTCACATGTGGCCCCGTTTCATATCCTTGTTTTTCTTGCTCTAATCCTGGGCCAGTGCTATTCTAGGCTGTTTGCTCTTATGAGATAGTATATATGCTGGCATAACATAAAGCATTTCCTTTGTGTACAAAGTCACCGATAAGATTAGCTTCACCCATTACTTTAGGTTTTAGTATTTTGATGTATGACATCAGATTTTATTATTATTAGTTTGCACTTTAACACACTGCATCAGGTGCAAGTGTAATTCAATTCAGGCACGTTTTGTTTTGTAAGCGTATTGTGCCTTGTATAGAGACATATCAGAGTAATTTTGTAGCATGAAGACAATCTAATCCCATAAGAATAATGTTAATAAATATATTTTTTCTTTTTTCTTTTCAAGTCATTACTAAGAAGTCCAGAAGTGGTGCAATTTTTACAGAAACAGCAACAACTATTAAATCAGCAAGTTTTGGAGCAAAGACAGCAGCAGTTTCCAGGAACATCAGTGTGAAGGAATTTATCAAGAAGATCCACGTGTTTTTTATTTTGTTATAGAAGATGGACATATTTTTATAATAAAGATAAATGGGGTTAGATATGCCAGTAAAACATAAACAGTCATTTTCCTGTAAATGTATGTGTGCATTTGGGGGTAACTAAGTATTGCACTTTGTGCATCTAATCCTTTCAGATTACTATAAATTTGAAGAAACAGCTTACCTTTCCAAAATAACATTTAATTACAATTGTTTTTTTAAACAAAGTATTCCTCTTCAGTCATCGTTACTGAAGGTAATGAAGCAGTTACTTTCTGTGGAAGTCACAAAGTTAATAGGTATTAATTTTTGATCATTTAGTTCAGTGGTTCTTATCAAGGGGCAGTCAGAAATGGATGAACATGTTTTTGGTTGTCACAGTGATCTTGAAAAATCCTGGTTTTTGTGAGTGGGTCAGGAATCCTAAATGTTCTACAGTGTCTGGAATGGCCTTTCACAACTAATAATTATCTCACCCACAGTGTTAATAACCCTCTTAAGAAACACTGACAGTTGTGATACCACTTGTGATGGTAAAATGTAGTTGGGGCACCTAAAATTGGGTTCTTGAAATAACTTTTTCTTTACAGTTAAGACTGGAGCTGTCAAAGAGGTAAGCGAATTTTAAATGTATAAGGAAAATGATCATTGTTAATTATCTGTGAAATTAGGATGTGCATTTCTTTTCAGAGATGTGCTGGTAAAACCTAGGAAAGGGGTTAACTAAGTACACTGGAATGAAAGCATCTCCTAAAGTTGGCCTCTCATTTCATGTTACCTATTAGTGTTCTCTCTTTTAAAGCAGACTTGTGTGTTGAACTTGTGTACAGTATAGATGTATCTCATTCCACCAGTGTCAGGACAAAAACGATTTTTTAATATGGATTTCCTTTTCAAAAAGAGATTCTGAAAGTAAGAATAACACTCCAGCATTTTGTCAATGTTTTTAAAAATTGAGCGAATTTAAGATCGTGTTATTCCTAAAATAATGTTCAAAGAATGATGATAGGTAATCTGGATGGATGCTTTTTTCTTGTATTGTCTCCTAGGAAAACTTTTAAAAGGCAAACCTTCCAATAAGGGTAACAAATCAAATGTCAAGAGAGTATTTCCAATGTTAGATAATAAATTTATGTCTCTTAAATGTAACTGTGCAAAAATGTGTTCATTTCTTGGGTTTTAAGCCCTGAAATATATATCAAGTTAAACTTAGTCAAGGCTCTTCTAAGAAGTACTTAAGGAGAGAAAGAATCTTTTTGTTCATCTTTTATGTGTGTTTTGTACCTGTGTATCTGTGTAAAACCACAGATTTTACCAAAATTATTCATTAAAGTCCAGTTGTAGACCTTTCAGTTGTCCGATTCACTTATTCTGTTCTTTAGTTTTTTCATTCTGGATGCAAAGGAATTCATTTACACTTGTTATTAACTATTAGTTCTCTTACTCATGGTGTTGGAGCTTTATTGAATCCCTACAGTATAATTTTTATAGTGGAAAAAAAAATCGGGCGCTGGGGTGGCTCAGTTAAACATCTGCCTTCAGCTCAAGTCATGATCTCAGGGTCCTGGGATCAAGTCCCACATTGGGCTCGCTGCTCAGTGGGGAGTCTGCATCTCCTTCTGCATGGTTAGCCTTGGGAGGAGGCAGAGTCCAGGAGGAACCATGAGGATGCTTCTGGGGTTTTGGTATTACTCTTCTTGTCCTATATGCTGGGTATGCATGTGTATTCTGTTAATGATAAGTTCAGCAAGCTAAACATTTTATACATCATATACATGTGATTTTTACATTTTTCAGTATTTTGTATGTCAATTTTTTTTTTTTTTTGAGACTATGTCGGCTGCCCTTGCAGCTCATTGAGACCACGTAAGTTAATGGCCAGTAGGGTAGAAGCAGAAATGATGTGTGCAACTTCCAGCTAGTGCCCTCTAAAAGGAAACAGGCAGCCCACTTTCCCCCTCCCTCTATCTTGCTCCTTAGAATGTGGACCAAGCAGCAGATCACCTGTAAGCCAAATGTGGGTAATTCACTGAGGATGAGGGAACAAGAGAGAAGGAAGCTGTGTCCTTGGATGGCCTCAAGGAGCAGAGCTATCATCCTAGCTGGAAACCGACTACCTGCAAGAGAAATGGAATATCCTGTGTCTGCCATGATTATTATGATGTTTTCGTTACATGCAGCCAAACTATAGCCTAAATAATACTGCAGGTGAAACTATATCCTAAATAATACTGCCGAATGGCATTAAAGATTTGGCATACTGGAAGCCAGGACTCTCTAATTCTGCATTCTGCAGTTACGTGACACTATTTCGTGGGGCTCAACCAGCCGTCATAGTAGGAAAGATGTATTGCAGGCTTGATCTCGGGTTCATTTAGTAGAAGAAGAGTACGGGATTAGGATGCTTTTGAGAGAGTGCTTTCAGTAACAGAGTTCAGGCTGAGCAGAGGAGAAACGAGGCCAACAAGGAATGGGGTTTTCTATGAGATTGCCAACCAAGTGTCAGAAGAATGAGCGAGCACGAGATATTTAAGCTAGGAAACTAGCAGTACTCATCACAATGGGTTAGCGATGGCCCCTATGTTATTACACTCCGTAATAACATATGTTTCAGTAAATCAAGCTCTTTGAAATCTTATAAGACCATTCCCAGGCTTCTACTTGAGTGTGATTCAGAGGGGTGGGTAAACAAGCCTGCAGGATTTAATGACAGAAACATCACTCCAGGAGGGCTCACTTCAGGGAGAAACCCAGAGGGATTTACTTCAGCTCTTCAGCTCATCAGCTCATCAGCTCTAGAGTATTGCAAAAACTTGCTAAAAAGTGATAACAAAAGAAAGAATACTAAAAAACAGATCTTTTGCTTCCGAAGTAGTTAATCCAAACTACTGTGGAGAAAAAGAAGACGACCAACCAGATGGTTCACAAAAGAACAGTCAATGGCAATATTGGCCAAAAATTATAAATGGTCTATAGTCAAAGACTTAATTATGAATAGGCAAATGCGAAAGTTTCTAACAATCTTACCAAAAATTATATATAAAGATATATTTATGCACACATAGAAGCTTGTATACAAAACTGGGAGTTGCTTCCATAAGGCAAAATTGGGTCACTGATGATGTAGAGTAGCAGAATGGTGGGAGGGGGTTCAGTGGTTAGGAGACCATTGTTTATCAAATAATCCTTTGTACTGCCTGAATTTTTACCAGTGCATGGATAAGTTTTTCAAAAATGTTTTTATTGCAAACTGAAATCTTGTTACAGTTTAAGAAGAATACTCTGTTTATGCTTTTTTTCTTTGCTTTCTATTTCAGTTTACAGGAAGAAATGTTTTTACTAATAAATCTTCATTTCTATATATATAGTGCAGTTTCCCCCTGGAGTTTCCTACCATCCATTCTGAGGCCCAAATGTAAACTTCCCTCCCAGAGGTGCATGAAGAAATAGATTATAATCTAAAGACAGCATGACAGAATGATTTTCTAGCATTTTATAATTTTCTAGCATTTTATAATTTTCAAAAAACAATTCCGGCCAGCAGTTTATAATTTTCTAGCATTTTATAATTTTCAAAAACAATTCCAGCTACTTACTCTTCTGACAATCCTCTAGAGTATGCACAACAGTTATTTTGTAGATGCAGAAGCAAGCTTACAGAGGTTGTCACTTGCCCAAGACTGCACAATTAGCTGTATTCAAAACCAGGACTTCTGACTCTAAGTTACTTACTGCATACTGTTGTAAGTCGTGTGAGCTGTGTATGTAATCATGGCGAGGCCAGTGCAGTTTCAATATGGACTTCACATTTGACAGTAGATGCACTATCATAAATAAATAAAGCCTTTGTACACTAAGGAATGTGTTAAAAAAAGACAAATATTACTTACACCCTAATTACTTTAGAAAGTACTTCCATGTGCTAATTCATTTGAACCTCAAAACATGGTAAGTATTGTCCCTGTTTTTGGATGAGGAAAGAAACTCAGAGAAGTGACTTGTAAAACAGGTCTAACTGTTGGATGCAGAGCCAAGACTTGAATTAAATCTTGTCTCCAAAAATGACGCTCTGCCCACAGTAGAATGTTGTTGCTAAAGTAGGAGCTAACACTTCTAAGTGCCTAGTTTCAAACACAGTAGGCACTTCAATATATGCTAATTTTTTTCAAGTTTCTGTATGCACACATAAATTTTATATAAATACATCAATGCCATCATATTGTGTATACTGAGGATTTCTGGTTTAGGTTCTCCCTTTTGTTTCATTTTTTGGCTTCCCACCCTCAGTCTTCCACGTACTGCCCACCTTCCAGTATGTCAACAACCTAGCATGTATTCTTCCTTATGTTTTGTAAATCTTAAACACACATAGGCACACATATAGCAGCTGTCAGTTACATAAAAATGTGGGCATATTTACATGTCAGCATATTACTTTTTTATGCTCCAGTACTGTGTAGATCGAAGTCCCCCCAAGTCACTTCTATAGCTCTGATTCTTTCCTTTAGATGGCTCTAGAGAATCTCATGATAGGAATGTGTCATCACATTCAATCATTCCACTGTTGATGGCATTCACTTGGTGTCCAGTTTTCGGCCACTATGAACAACGCCACCTCCCTGTAGTGTGTCCTTATGTATTGGTAGGTACTGGTGGTTCAATGGCCTTGGAATAGATTCTCATAATTGTTGGTGGAGGGAAATATATAGATATGTGTTTTCTTTAGATGTATTTCTTCCCCCCAAAAAAGCTCTAGCACTGCAAATGTCTACTAGCAACAAGGGAGAATTTCTTTCCCTCCTATCTTTGCCAACAGCAATTACTGTTCTTTGTTAACTCTTCCTTGATAGATATGTACTGCTAATTGTTACATTTATTAACATTTCTCTGAATAGTGGAAAATTTGAGTACCTCTTCATACATGCTTGTTCATTATTTAGATTTGTTCTTCTGTGAATCAACTAGTCATATATTTAGGCTCCCCTTTTCTACTCAATGTGCAAAAGTCTGGTGAATATTATAAAAATTAACCCTGTCTTGGATGCCTGGGTGGCTCAGCTGTTAAACGGCTGCCTTCGGCTCAGGTCATGATCCCAGGGTCCTGGGATTGAGCCCCACATCGGGCTGCCTGCTCAGCGGGGAGCCTGCTTCTCCCTCTCCCACTCCCCCTGTTTGTGTTCCCTCTCTTGCTGTGTCTCCCTCTGTCAAACAAATAAATAAAATCTTTTGAAAAAAACCTGTAATTTTTTCAAAAGATTTTTTTTGAGAGAGAGAGAGAGAGTGCACGAGTCGGGCAGGGGAGGAGCAGAGGGAAAGGAAGAAGCACACTCTTTGCTGAGCAGGAAGCCCAATGCTTCCCAAATCTAAAATTTGCCAATTTACTTCTTTTGTGGTACTTTGCCATACAAGGTTTTAGTTTTTGTATATTTTAACATATCTGATACTTCTTTTGTGGCTTTTGGGTTTCCAGGGTTGGTTTAAAAGATCCAATTTGGGATTTCAAATGATTGTTGATTTATAA